TTCCCTTTGAGTTGGAATAGGACAGACTTTGAAACTTGAATAGGAAAATTGTTCTACATTTAGAGAGAGGAAGTAATACAGATGAAAGGTCAGGGGAAATATGCAAGCTGTCCAGTGAAGTACAAGAGAACTACTGGGAAATAAAACTGGAAAGGTATGTAGAAAGAAATGTTAAAAGACCAGGTTAAAATAATTTGGACTTAATTCTGAAGGAAGTGAGGAGCCTTTAAAGATTTTTAGAAAAGGAATTGATGTCAGAGTTGTGCTTTTAAAAAAAATTACTCTGGCAGCAGTGTGAATAGAAGATTTGAAAAAGGAATTATAGTGAGCCAGGAGATGAGTTAGGAAGCTGTTGTAATGACATCCTAATCTGGTGGCAGTATCTTTCCGAATCAGACAAAAGGGATAAGTGCAAGAGACACGTTGGATGTAAAGGCTGATTAGATATAGGCAATAAGACAGATAGGGGAGTTGAAGATAACTCCAAAGTTACAAGATGGATGTTTGGGAGAATTGTGATTTCTTTAACTGCATGGGAAAGAAAAGAGAGAAGCAGAAGCTTATAATTGAATTTTGGAAGTATTGAACATATTATGGATTTGTCTCATGTGTATTTCCTTTTAATTTCTTAAATTCCATCTTATCTTTGGAAAATCAGTTGATCTGTAATATAAATCCAAAACCTTATCCTTCTGTTTTTCTACCACTGGAGACTTTGTCCGGGGAATTTATAGATGTCACCTCTGAGAAAACTGCTTAGATTCTCTCCCATATTCAAATTTATTCCATGTTAGAGTCAATGTTTTAATTACAAATTATACCATTATGAAAAGATAACTCAGTACATAAATGGCTCTCATCGGGGTTAGAGGTGTGGTCTCTTCCAGTTTTGCATCCTGCCATGGGAAGCCACAAAGTCCACTAACCTCTAGGGATACAAAGGTGATGGGTCAGATAACTGCTGAGTAGACCCTGAGCCTGGCTGTGGCAGGTCCTAAGCTTGAACCCAGGTCTGAATTCTGTCCAGCTGAGGAGGTAGCCAAATGTCCCATGTACAGTAAGTTAATCTCTAATTTAGTTAGTATGACATGCCAACTGTGTGAGAAGAGTATTCTTAGGTACTCTTCAAAACTAGCAAGGAAATGATAAGCTCCTCGCCATTGAATAACAATGAATAGGCCTTAACAACCAAACATATTGAATCTTAAAGACTGATTACAAAACAGCCTGTCAAGTATGCTTGATCTTTATGGATGAAAATAGAAATGTTAAAGGGAAGCAAATGCAGAATATAAAAGGGTGGGCTTGGGGTTATTGAAGAAGACTGAATAAGTAAACTCTGAATTTCTTTTTTTTAGAAACTATTACTTTTTAATCGACAAGCATTATTTATATAGTTATGCATTGCTTAGGATACGTTTGGAGAAATGCATTGTGAGAAACGTATTGTTAGGCTATTTAATTGTTGTGCACACATCATAGAATGTACTTAGACCTGGATGGCATAGCCTACTACACACTAGGCTGTATGGTGTAGCCTATTGCTCCTAGGCTGCAAACCTGGACAGCATGTACTGTACTGAATACTATACACAAGTATAACACAATGGTAGATATTTGTGTATCTAAGCCTATCTAAACATAGAAAGGTACACTAAAACTACAGTATTATAATCTTCTAGGACCACCATCATACATGCAGTCCATCATTGACAAAAACATCCTTATATGCAGCACATGACTGTATTTTATGGTCTACACCGTGCTGTTTCAATGTAGGTTGAGTATCCCTTATCTGAAATGCTTGGGACCAGAAGTATTTCGGAGTTCAGATATTTTGGTTTTGGGGTATTTGCATTATACTTACCAGTTGAACATTTCCAAAACAAAAATTTTAAATCTGAAACACTCCAATGAGCATTTCCTTTGAGTGTCATGTCAGCACTCAAAAAATTTTGGATTTTGAATCATTTCAGATTTCAGATTTTCAGGTTAGAGATGCTCAACCTGTACACACACACACATTGTGGAATGGCTAAATCAAGCTATTTAACATGCGCATTACCTCACATACTTACCTTTCTCTGTGGTAGAAATACACAAATCTACTCTCTTAGCAATTTTCAAGTATACAATATATTGCTATTAACTATAGTCATCATGATGTACAATAGATCTCTTATTTCTCCTGTGTAAGTGAATTTTGTGTTTTTGACCAACATCTCCCCAATCTCCCCATCCCCCAGCATCTGGTAACCACCTTTTTAAGCTGTATTTCTATGAGCTCAGCTTTATTAGATTAAATTCTGAATTTCTTTTGTGGCCTGGGCTCAGTGTCCTCCCGTATGTCCATTTCTAGGGAGGGAGAAAGTGCCTGGATACTGTCATCAGTGATAAACACGTCTGGGCTCTCTCAAGGAGTTAACCCTATTATAATGGAAGACTTCCATTCAGTTCAGAAAATATTCACTGATAATTTATTACATGCAAGTGGGATACATAAAAGTAGATAAATAACAGAATAAGGTGACATGTGTTAAGCAGATTTAAGATGAGATAACAGTGAACTGGGAGAAGCTTCTTAGAGTCGGGATGATTGAGATAGTTGCTAGAGAATGGGTAGAAGGGAGGCAAGTTATGCGGAAACAAAAGGTATTCCACACATGGAGCAACGTAAACAAAAGTGAGGACGCAGGAATGTTTACAGGCGATTCTAGAGGCAGCGAGCATATCCATTTGGCCAACGTAGAGGATTCTCCCAGGGGAGTAATGAAATTTAAGGCTAGAGAGTAATTGGAAATAAATCGTGGAAGACCTTTAATACCCAGTACGACCACCAGACTCTGTCTCATTGCCAGCTTATAGGATCAGTTTTTTTCACAGTTTTATTGAGATACAACTGACATACCAGGATCAATCTTAAAATGGAAATAGTCCAGAAACAAAAGGCATTCTTTGGCAGAGTGTATACCTTCAGTGCTGGCTTTCATGCCTGCTATGAATTTTCACGTTTCCTAAGTCCTGTGTTATCGCTTGCTTTTGTAGGTGCCTCCATTGCTCTTATGGACAAAGAAGGATTGACAGCCCTCAGCTGGGCTTGTTTGAAGGGCCATCTCTCAGTAGTACGTTCTCTGGTGGATAATGGAGCTGCCACAGACCATGCTGACAAGAATGGCCGCACCCCACTGGACCTGGCAGCTTTCTACGGTGATGCCGAGGTGGTGAGTGCCTTTAAACAAGCCTCAGGAGAGTAGGGATGGAGACCGTTCTCCATCCATAACACTATCTGGGGTTGAAGGTAGAGTAATGTTTTGATGATTCCTGATATAAAGTTCTCAGATCTATACTTGCCAGAGGGCAGGAATATTCAAAATGCTATTAAAAACCAAGAATATAGCTAAAGCCTGAAATACCAGCCTACATAGCCTGGTTCAGACCAGCAGTTGAAAAGGGGCAGGCAGAAGCTAGAGCCCTCGGTGCAGCAATGCTGAGCCATTACACCTGTGGTAACTGCTCTGCTTGATCCTTGTCCTAGGTCCAGTTCCTGGTAGATCATGGGGCCATGATCGAGCATGTTGACTACAGCGGAATGCGCCCTTTGGATAGGGCAGTGGGGTGCCGGAACACTTCTGTTGTTGTCACTCTTCTGAAGAAAGGAGCCAAGATAGGTAGGAGAAAGGAGGAAGGTGTTGGCCATCTGTGCCCAGGGGCCAGACTGGTCCAGTGGTCTGGCTGCCCTGGGTATTTGGTGTGAGTGTATATAGCTTCCCCTCTGCCCTGGCCCAATTATTGTCCAAGTGAATGGAGAGACTCTTGGCCCAGAGAAAGCACCATCTGAGCCGTGGTCTACAGTACCCTGTGTCCAGAATCATGTGGTTTTCTGCCATGCCCCTCGTAGTCTTAGCCAGCAGGCTGCTCTGGCCTTAGGCACATTTCAGTGCTGCCTCTGTACCAGCCCCACCCTATAAGCATCCTGGATCTCTGCACTGCTGTGAGCCTTTGCTTTCCCTTGCTCTGTATGTGCTTCAGACTCTCAAGTCCCTGCTACATTGTCCCAGCTGCTGCCCCATCCCACAGACCTGTAGACAAGGGTTGGCTGATATGCTGGCTTTTTTGTTGCCTGCCTCTCACTGCTGCTTTTTCCTTCTTTTTTTTTTTCACCTTCATCCATTTTTTTTTCCTTTTCTACAACTTTTTGTTTTCTCCTTTCTTTGAAGGTTGTCAGACGTTACCGAGTCGCCCACGAGGTATATTTCACCGCTGTCAGCATCAGGCGTGGTCTGATGGCTTGGTCAGCTTTGCCTTCTCCTCTTTGGTTTAGCCTGCATGAGTTCCCTACAACCTCTAATCTTTTAATTTACTTCACCTTAAAAGAAGATTTTTTTTTAATGACTGTTGTAGAGAATAACTTGAACTTTTGATAACTAACCCTGAAAAGCCTAGTTGGTAAATAATTCAGGCATCTGTAAACTAATCAATTTAACCTTTCCTTTCTTTTTTGTGGGTGAAGTCATCCTCAATAATGTTGGTTTGTTTCACGTCTGTTTGACATTCAAACTACGCTCCTGATTCAAAGCGAATCCCAGGGAGTCCTGTTTGGTATTTATAATTTAAGGGAGCCTTTAGAGTTTTTAATGGTTTCCCTTCTGCAAAGTACATATTTTAATATTAAGAGACTAAACATCTGAGGGTTTCGAGTCCAGATCCAAAATAAATTAGCCTTTTGGATTTTTCAAATCCTGTGGTGATGTTTAATGCAAACCCTTTCTTCCGATTTCCTTATTTAAAATAATTTCAGACTAATCCATCGCCTGCCCACATGCAACACGTAGACTTTGCTGCCCTCCTGTCGTGCAGGCTCAGATAGTTTGGATATTCTTATTTTAAGGTGAATACAAATCCAACGCAGCTCCTTGGCAGTGGGAGTCACTAAAATACTCCCAAGTCTAAAAGATGGGGCCAGACCTACTCCCAAGTCTAATTATTGTGGAGCAAGTTGTTCTCTCAGCAGAAATTCCCCCAGGGTGTTTTTTTCACCTAGCTTCCTACCACCCTTACATTGTATGAGTTTTTTACCCATCATGCATCCTGTACACTACAGGTCCAGCCACATGGGCGATGGCCACCTCCAAACCAGACATCATGATCATCCTGTTGAGCAAGCTGATGGAAGAGGGGGACATGTTTTATAAGGTGAGGGGAGGGAGAAACAAAGTTTCCTCAGAACAGCCACTGACTGTTTTCTACATGTAGAATCTTCCAAAGTCTTCACAAGTCCTATCATTTGTTCTAAAGTCAAAGGGAGAATGCCATTCCTCAGCAATAGGTCTGATAAGTTGGGGATCCTGGGTATTTGCCTTGCCAACAAGAGAGCAGTGGTAGCCGACACATGCCATGCCTGCAGCTGATCAGCCGAAAGACCTAGTTTGACCTGGCCACAAACAAGTGGTTACATGGAATCTGCTAAGTGGGATCTGGAAACTAATAGGACAAGTAAAAATAAAATTATGTAGTATAGCTATTTCCAGTCTATTGATCTTAGCTTTCATATTTAATATAAACATAAATTTAAAAGTCTATAATAATAATATCAGCATCTTTGAATAAGGTAAAAAAAAAAAAAACAAGAAAAATAGCAATTGGAAGATTTGTTTAAAGTTATTCACTGAATGACAACATCAAAAAAAAGTGTGGAGTGTTTTTGTACTCAAAATTCAAGCAAAAAGCTCCGTACCCTAACACAAACTCCCATGGCCTATAGTTCCTTAAGAATATTCCATGTCAAAGTCATGTCTTTGTGTTAAGATTAGCTGGATTATCTTCTCCTGAAGATGATACAAATCCAACCCAGTCTTTGGCAGCATGCATCACTGACATATCCTTAGGCCTAAAAGATGAGGAAATGATTGTGAAGCATGTTGTTCCCCCTTGTGTCAGGAGTGTACCAGTTCCTGGAAGCAGAGTTCTATCTTCTAAGTACCTTTTGAGTGAGAGTCATGGTATAATCCAGGACTCTAAGTCTTTCAGGAAGCTTGAGCCCTGGCCCAACCTTGATTTCGTGTGACTTCAAAGAAGGTCCTCATTACTTTAGATGTCATATTTATGGACTTTAGAATGGCATTGCTCTCACGAATCTAAGTCCTGAATATGGAATAACTTCTGGTATTCTAAGGCAAGAGTCCTATCTCCTAAGGAAAATTGGCAGACCTATTATTGTTCCCCCCAGAATTCTACCTCGGAAGACTCCAAATCTCTCCTTAGTGAAAGGTGCCAAAGGAAAAATAAAAGCTTGGGATCTCTGTGGAGTTGCAACTATACAGAAGGAATAGGGTAGATAAGGTAAGGGGGTGGGAGATGCCTCTTGCATCTTTTGGGCTCAGCTTGTAGATTTTCACATACAAAATGTAAGAAAAGGTCAAGACCACTGTGATCAGATCCCTAAGTTGATCATAGATTTACTTCATCCTGGAAAATCCCTCCTACAAAGTCAGATGGAATGACAAATTCTAAGCTTTATTTCTCTACTACCACCCTACTTCATGGCTTTTCCAAAAACAGGGAAAACTGATTGGTATATTTTATGCCATGAGATTAGAAAAGCAACAGCTAGACTGTTTTAGCTCCCACACCTTTTGCAAGGAAGAGGATGACTTCTAGAGGGCTGGCAAGGTAGAGCATCAGACAAGAAAAGAGTTCTCCAGATAAGCCAGAAATTAAGAAGTAATAACTGTTGAGTGCTTGGGACTAGGAAATTATACATGTCCCAGTGAGATCAGTTCAAGAAAAATGAACTTGCAAGGTCAGCCCCTTGGGGAACCAGTTGAAGAGCTGGGGTCCAAGGCCTTCCACTTGCCAAGATTTTGTTTCTCTGGCTTCTATCTTGGGTATGCCCTTCAGCCTTACCTTTCCTACAAGCTGAATTTCTTATAGAAAAAACTAGACCCTTCTATTCAGACCATCGGGGCCAGACCTACTCCGTAGGCTGGTGTGTGGGAGGGTTAACCCTTAGTAACAACTGCTGAGAGGAGGAAGGGAGTAGGGACCAAATTTCCTCATCTGCTCAGCAGACCAACGGTGTGTTTTGCCATCTTGTACTCCCATTAGAAAGGTAAAGTAAAGGAAGCTGCCCAGCGCTACCAGTACGCTCTGAAGAAGTTCCCTAGAGAAGGGTTTGGTGAGGACTTGAAAACCTTCCGGGAACTAAAAGTGTCTCTCCTCCTCAACCTCTCTCGATGTCGCAGGAAAATGAACGTAAGTCCCTCTCATCCCAACTTCTTTCTGCAGTCCTGGAAGTTCAGCGTCCATGTCACTAGTTTTTACCAGGCCCCTGAAATCCTTCTCTGCCCCATTTGGAACTTGGTTGTCCTTCACAGAGCACTGACATTTGCAATTTGAAAGAAATCAAATCTAAGTATGATCTGTATCTCACACTGTATAAGAGTTGATGCTATGAGTACTTTGTAGCTTTCTGAATTTTTATAATTCCCACTGAAGGTGATTATAATGCTATCATCCCCACCCCTATACCCCCAAGTTAATTTTCTGGTCTTTGGGAAAATGTGAGAGCAGAGGTCACTAGAATTCCAGCAGCAATTAGATATGAATTTTGGTCATTCCCTTCCTTTCTAGTATATTCCCTAGTCTTTTAAGGAAAGGCTGGAAAGAGGGCTCAGGACCATGGACTTCAAAGTTTAATTTCTAAGGCTGTCCTTAAACTTTTCACTTCTTTCCTCATCTTTTTATTCCAGCATGCCGTGTCCCTCCTTGTCCTAGAGGGAATCTTAGAACTCTTTCTGGCCCTTTATTTTCTCCCTAGTAGTCCTTGGTCCTTCTCTCCTGCCTTGCAGATACAGTCTTGGACGTCCTCAGCCAATGCTCCCTCAGCCACTGCTCCCTTGACATGCAGACACTCCCAAGCCAAGAAACCTCTCTGAGATCCTGGGAATAGCAAGATTGTGTCAGGAATCTCTGACATCCACCAGCCTGAGGTCTCACAGTTCCTCAGGAGTTAGAAATAATTCAAGCCAAATAGGAATGTGATCAATAAAGAACTCAGCTGTACACAAGCGAGATTTAACCCTCAGTGGCAAGGTATCTGCTGCCAATTCCAGAAAGACGATTTGTGTATATGACCTTTATAGCATCTATTTCAGGCTCTAAAACCTAACAATGAAAAGAGCCTTGAGGCCGAGTGTGGTGGCTCACACCTGTAATCCCAGCACTTTGGAAGGCCAAGGCGGGAGGATTGGTTGAGGCCAGGAATTTGAGACCAGCCTGAGCAACATAGCAAGACCCCATCCCTACAGAAAAAGAAAAAAAAAAGAATAGCTGGGCGTGGTGGCATGCACCTGTAGTCCCAGCTACTGAGGAGGCTGAGATGGGACAATTGCTTAAGCCCAGGAGTTTGAGGTTGCAGTGAGCTATGGTGATGCCACTGTACTCTACCCCAGACATTAGAGCAAGAGTGTTTCCAAAAAAAAAAAGAGCCCTGGGATAAACTTGGCTGTCTCAGAGGACACAGTCATGGCCCTAACAGGCAAAGTTGCCCCAGGGTCTGGGGAGAATAGGGACATGGAAGAGATTGCATTGGGGAGGGAAGAGGGGACAGTCTCGAGGAAAGGCAGTGAGGTCTTATGCCTATAGTTTCTCCTGCAAAACAGAAGAAACAGAACCAAGGGTCTCCCATGGCACCAGCCAGCGAGAATGAGGCAAAGCTCAGAAGTCACTGCCAACCTGCTAACCTCTTTTTTCCCTAACAAATAATCTACTTCTTAAACTCTAATATTTCCAGAAATAATGGTTGTTCCAAAAGAAAAAAGTAAAGAATAAGGTTGGAAACAGAGTAACTCCACATTTGTTCAGAAACAGTTAATAATCACCTCCCATGGACCAACACTGTGCTAAGCACCAGAAGTCTGTCTTCTTTGGTAGAAAATTTCCCATTAATTTTTTCTAAATTTTTACCTATGCCCCAGGGCCTTTTTCTGCCTAAGGCCTTGTTTTCTGCCTTAGGAATCATGAGTGTAACTAGAGGCCACCATGCTGTACTAGGGCTTTGACATTAAAAGAAGGGAAAAACTTTTCCTTTTAGCTTAACATTTAAGGGGATCTTAAAAAGCATGGACTCTGCCTTGTCAACATCATCCCGTTCCCAGGGGTTCTTGGAATGAAGACAAATACCTCTGAGACCATGCTCCTCCAGACAGCCCCCAGTGATAGCATGGACCCAAGTCACAGCCAGGGTCTTCTGCTTTGTGTTTGTTTCTTTTTATTATTTTAAATATTTCCTAAGTAAAGAACCAGTTAAGAGAAGAAACAGGCCAGAGAAACCACTGTGAAATAAGAAACTACAATTTATTGAGCACCTCCTGTATGCTAGGAACTGTGTGGTACTTTTAAACACCTTATGCTTAGTTCTACCTCTGCAGTAGGCATGGATGAGAAACAATACGACACATTCTGCAGGGGTATAAAGCAGACCAGAGACTTGAACCCAGGTCTGTCCGACATCCCTGTTGCATCTAGTCTCCAGACACTGCAGTTCTCCTTTACTCAGATGCCATCCTCCCGGATGTCACAGGACACTTGTCCCTTAGAAAGCCGAGGTCTAGTGGGTGCAGTAGGAAGTTGCGGGGGTAGGACAGGGGTCCACGTGAGGTGTCTGTGTGTGCATTCGCCTCATACATGCAAGAGTAACAAGTTCAGGTTTCCAATTTCAGGAGCTTCATGGTAAAGGGTCAGCATTTGGCTTCTGGGCTGAAAAGAACTTTATTAGAAAGGCAGAAAGAGGGCGAATTAAAAGTATTTTATTACTCTGGGCAGATAAAGTCCAGTGAGCAGTTGCAGGGCCACACAGGGCAAAAGCAGAAGGAACTTTCAGTCTGTGAGCCACATGGCTAGGGCCATGTCAGGCATGTCTAGAGTCCCAGGTGTTCCATCCATAAGTGTCAAAGAAATGTACAAATAATTTGTTTTATTCCCAAGTTGTCTATTCTTTATATCTCTTCAATGACTCATTTGCACACCTATTATAATGACAGGATTTTGGAATGGCGGAGGAATTTGCTACTAAGGCCCTGGAGCTGAAACCGAAATCTTATGAAGCTTACTATGCAAGAGCAAGGGCAAAACGCAGCAGCAGGTGAGGAGAGAGAGAGAGGGTGAAAGGCAAGCGGTCTCTTCGACAATTTGGCCAAGGCAATGTAGGCCACCCTGGGGCATATGTACCCAAATATGTCTCTGTCCTGGAGGACTCTTAAGGCCAAGCTTTGGGGATGGCTCCAGAGCACAGTGCTCAGCTGAAGATCAGCAAATCTTCTGGGCTACGGAGACCAAGAACATTTTACTTTGGGAGAAAAATGCTTTTTCATTGGAGTATGTCACCTTCTAAGAATCCTCTGCCATATCTCAATCACTTTTCAACCCCCAAAGGAGATAGCATAAAGAGACAACAGTGACTTAAAGAAGAGTTCACTTAAACAAAACATCCTGCCAACCCTTTTAAAGGGAGAAGTAGGATGTGTCACTAACTTCACAGGCATTTTTCTTTTCTTAGAAGTATTTGGGAAATCCCTGGATTTTTTAGGCCCCCTTCTGGGGCTCTCCTCAAGTCTGGTAGCATCAAACCTCCTTGTCACCTAAACCATCACCACACCACGCACACACACATGGAGTAAGGAGGTCCTTGCTGCCAGGATTGAGAGGGCCCAAGAGAAACACCATTCCACCACTCCTCATGCCTGTCTGCTGTAGTTTGGCTACTGGGCAGGAAAGCCTCCAGAAGGACCTAGAATCTGCCATCAGTGATCTTTGGATAACTTGTCACTGTCCTTGACAGTGACAGCCTCCTGCCTGGCACCCTACCTTCTCCCAAACTACATGGGAAAGAACTGCTTTGGGTTCATTGCTGTGAGCGGGAGGGTATGTCCTAAAAATCAAATCCAGGTGGAAACTAGTGATGATGGTGGCAGTGATATTATTCTTAACTAGCTGCGGTATCAAAGGTTTTACAGAAGCTCAACTATCAAATTCTCTTCCCCTCTGGATTGGTCCTTTCCCACAAGGCCAATTTCCCCTTTTCAGGCAATATTAATAGAGAAGATGGGAATATCTCTGACAGTTCATTTCTTCATTTGTGAATCAGAATCTCCTTGGGGTCAGCTCAGCTCCAGACCTGTGTTGCCTAATAACCTGCCCCACTTTGACAGAGTGAGTGGAGACGCAGCAGTGCTGTGGGGTGAGGGGTAGAAAGGGCAGAGGACAGGTTCTTGCCTAGGATAGAACAGGCCTGAAATTTGGAGCCAAAATATTGAAAATATAAAGAAAATTTTCTGCATCAGCAAGATTTTTAAATATTATAGTTACTATTTTGTTCCTAAGCTACTTGACAGTGACCCTGTAAATGACAACCCCACCCAACCCTCATACTGCCTGGTGTGCGTTTGGGCACTGAGATAATCTTCCTGGTGGGCCTGGCTGGACTGAAACAATGGGGACATTTCTCCACCCATCCCAGAGAGGCCAGAAGGAAGATGGAGGCTGAATGGGCTAGGGAATCATCCTGGACTCTTCTAGAATGACAGCTTCCTTGTTTGCTTCCTTACAAATCAAACTAAACCAAAACACCCCAGACTCCCACAGATGCCACCACAGTTCTCTGAAATAGTGACCATGTTCTCAATTCTTGGTGATTCCCATTGATTCAGAATAACTCCACTTCCTGTGTTTACATTTCGTTAAGCAGACAGTTTGCAGCAGCCTTAGAGGACCTGAACGAGGCCATCAAGCTATGTCCAAACAACCGTGAGATCCAGAGACTTCTGATGAGAGTGGAAGAAGAGTGTAGACAGATGCAGCAGCAGCAGCAGCAGCAGCCACCGCCACAGCTGCCCCAGCAGCCGCAGCAGCAGCCTCAGCAGGAGGTCCCAGAAGAAACAGAACCTGAACCACAGCATGAAGATATGTACTCTGTACAAGATATATTTGAGGAGGAGTACCTGGAACAGGATGTTGAAAATGTCTCCATTGGCCTCCAGACAGAGGCTCGGCCCAGTCAGGGGCTCCCAATAATCCAGAGCCCACCCTCCTCTCCAGCCCATCGGGACTCAGCCTACATCTCTAGCTCACCTCTTGGCTCTCATCAGGTTTTTGACTTCCGCTCCAGTAGTTCTGTAGGTTCTCCCACTAGGCAGGGCTACCAGTCCACCTCACCTGCTCTTTCTCCAACTCATCAGAACTCTCACTACAGGCCTAGTCCACCACATACTTCCCCAGCTCATCAGAGTGGATCTTACCGTTTTAGCCCCCCTCCCATGGGAGGGCAGGGCAAAGAATACCCAAGCCCTCCCCCTTCCCCTCTCCGTAGAGGCCCTCAGTATCGGTCCAGCCCTCCAGCTGAAAGCATGAGTGTCTATAGATCCCAATCTGGTTCACCTGTACGCTATCAGCAAGAAACAAACATCAGTCAGCTTCCTGGCAGACCCAAATCTCCCTTATCCAAAATGGCTCAGCGGCCCTACCAGATGCCTCAGCTCCCTGTGGCAGTTCCCCAGCAGGGGCTCAGGCTACAGCCTGCCAAGGCCCAGATCGTGAGAAGTAACCAGCCCAGCTCAGCAGTTCATTCAAGCACTGTAATCCCCACGGGAGCCTATGGCCAGGTAGCCCATTCAATGGCTGGTAAATACCAGTCTTCACAAGGTGACATAGGAGTAAGTCAGAGCCGTTTGGTTTATCAGGGATCAATTGGGGGAATTGTAGGCGATGGGAGACCGGTGCAGCATGTCCAAGCCAGCCTGAGTGCAGGGGCCATCTGTCAGCATGGAGGGTTGACCAAAGAAGATCTTCCACAGCGACCTTCCTCAGCATATCGAGGTGGAATGAGATACAGCCAGACGCCACAGATTGGGCGTAGCCAGTCAGCATCCTATTACCCAGTCTGTCATTCAAAACTAGATCTGGAGCGGTCCTCCAGCCAACTAGGTTCCCCTGATGTCTCACATTTAATCAGGAGACCTATCAGTGTCAACCCTAGTGAAATCAAACCCCACCCACCAACTCCCAGGCCACTGCTGCACTCCCAAAGTGTAGGCCTTCGCTTCTCTCCATCTAGCAATAGTATCTCATCCACTTCCAACCTTGCTCCTTCCTTCCGGCCATCTTCCTCGATTCAGCAAATGGAGATCCCACTGAAACCGGCATATGATAGGTCATGTGACGAGCTGTCACCAGTATCTCCCACTCAAGGAGGTTACCCCAGCGAGCCCACCCGATCCAGGACCACACCATTCATGGGGATCATAGATAAAACAGCCCGGACTCAGCAGTACCCCCACCTTCACCAGCAGAATCGGACCTGGGCAGTGTCATCAGTGGATACCGTTCTCAGTCCCACATCTCCAGGCAACCTGCCTCAGCCTGAGTCCTTCAGTCCACCATCATCCATCAGCAACATTGCCTTTTATAACAAAACCAACAATGCACAGAATGGCCATTTGCTGGAGGACGATTACTACAGCCCCCATGGGATGCTGGCTAACGGGTCTCGTGGAGACCTCTTGGAGAGAGTCAGCCAGGCCTCCTCCTATCCCGATGTAAAGGTGGCTCGGACCCTACCTGTGGCTCAGGCGTACCAGGACAACCTGTACAGGCAGTTGTCCCGAGACTCTCGACAAGGGCAGACATCCCCTATCAAACCAAAGAGACCATTTGTGGAGTCTAATGTTTAGAAGACACTTGTTGGAGTGAGACCCATATGTTTTCACTGCACATTTTCAGGCTTGGTTTCCACATTGGAGGTAGTTCTCTGGCTTAATTTCTCATGTAGTTTCTGTGTGGTGTTCAGAGGTGGCAGCCCACATGCTGAAATTCTTTGCATGCAGCCGACTGGGAAGCTGGCCTCCAGGGAGCCAGGACTTCAGTTTCTCTCGTCTGTGCCCCAGCCACATGCTCTCTCCCTCTCTTCAGATGCCAACAAGGAGATTTTTTGCCGTGTGCTTTAACCCAGGGAGATCAGACACACTGGTCAGCTTTTTCCAGGAGACAATCGCTTTCACTGATGTTCTTGTTGTGTAAATGTCTTTTTCCTTTTTTTAAAAAAAAAATAGGATGTTCTTGTTCGTTTTCTTCTAGGAACTTTAGAAAGAGTGTGATGCTCCTTTGCCTTCTTAGCCAGTGTCATCCACATGGGCAGCCTTGGTGCATTCTTGTACCACAACCCCAGCCCCCATACTGCCAGCTCCCTGCAGTCAGGTCCAGAATGTTCATTAGGATTCCTGCTGGTCTTCCTATGGAGTAAAAGGATCAAGGAGGGAGAGAGAAGAAATAAGTCTGCTAAATTGGAA